TATTACTATTACTATTACTATTACTATTACTATTACTAAATATTATGTTATACTGCTATTAATTATTGTCATAGCCGTTAAAAAATAGCTAATGTTTCAGGTGACATGAGAAATACAAATGAGGCAAAACTTCTGTGAGCACAGTTTTCAATTTGCTAAAATTTAAAGCTAACCTGTTATAAGCTACTTTGATTGCAAATCCACAAAATCTTCCTTGTGGTTGATCCAAATTGCATATATCTACCGTTTTATCAATTGATTTCGTCGTTATTTCTGTAAAATTATACTGATAAATCAAAGTTACTTTCCATCTTAATTTGCTGTTTTTGAAAAGTTTTTGAATTGAATAAGTAACTTTAATAAACGGATTTCATAACAACTACTTTTCCTATTTTCCTTTCAGGAGATGTAAAATTGAATCAGGTGGAATCAACTTTTTTTAATATCGCATTACATACTACTGGAATTGAAATAAACTAAAGGAATCAAATTAGACAAGAATGAATTTATGTTGAAACAAAAACAAAGTTTAGAATATCATGAATTAATTGAATAAAGACTTAATTTTTCGTTCAGAATAGTTGCAATGTAGCAGGTTATATTAGCTTCAGAATTTATAGCGCCAAAACAAAGTTTCATGTCAAATTGACATGTCAGCTGCCACTACCATATATTTTAGGAAATGTTAGACACAATCATTTAAGAAATATATGGCGTAATTAAATTATCGACAAACTGAAATTTGTAGTAGATATTTGAATGGAAAAATAAAATATATGTATATATACTTCCGGTAGGAATGGATGGCAGTGCTTCAGCGGAAAATCCACTGCTGTAGGTTGACAATGAAGATGTAATAGTTGTTGACTCCGATCCTTCGATATTTGAATTCGTAATTCCATTATCAGTAACAGAATTGGCATCAGTCGTTAATGGTATTCCACCATTTGCTGCGGTCAAGCACTACAATTAAATTTAACAATTTTGAAATTATCTAAAAAAAGTAATGTCTTTTGCTTTTTGTTTAAAAAAATGAAATGATTTTTACTGAAAATTACAGGAATTAAAGAAAAACTTAACAGCTTATTACAAAGAGTTTTAAAGAAACTTAAAGCTCAAAACGTTAAAAGATATGTTTACCGCAAATTTATCCAATAAATTTCATTCCTTTACTTCTCGAAATATAATTGATATAATCCTTTTTTTCGCATTACACACTACTGGAAGTTAAAATGTAAAAGTATTTGTCGCCGATATTTAAAAGAAATTAAAATAAGTGAAACAAAGAAAAATTTACGTTTTCAGGTATTTTAGAGCATGTATTGCTCAACTCATCCTGATATTTTGCAGCAGGCCGTCTGCACAGTTCACGTGGAAAATTACATACGTACGGTTTGCAATCTCGTAAACCAACTGTAGACCATTTATCATCCGACAGAAAGTCTTCACCTCAAATTAATTATTACATGTCATTTACATCAAATATTCATATCATATACTGATTTGCAACCGTAATTAATATGCAGGCATGCATGTCGATCAAAATTGAAAATGAATTTATCAATTTAAACATTATATTTTTTTTTAAGATTTAATCTTAAATATTATACTAATTAAAAAAATATTAAAGATTGAAATTTATTATTATCGAAAGAAGCAAAATAAAGCAAAACATAAAAGAAGTAATTTTAAGCAAGAAAAAAAACTAACATTCTGTTTGTTCAAACAACATTTCGAGAAATGAATCTAAATCATCCGGAAATAGCAATGCATCAATTATGATATGATAATGCATTGATCCTATCATCATCATTATTACCATTATTATCATGTTGATAGAACAACCAAAAATATTATCGTTATATTTTTAACAGTCGTTATTGTCCTGTTTAAAATATGTTATCATTTTCCAATAAGGCAAGAAATACAGCCAATTTTATTCGTAGTAATAATAATTCTAT